ATTCTCAATAAAATAATAACTTCAAGGTAATTTCTCCCAACAATTAACGGATGAGAAACATGTAGTCTTGGCTGCTCTACTCACTCTGTAGACCAGGCTGGCCTTAACTCAGAGATCCGCCTGCCTTAGCCTCCCTATTGCTGGGGTTAAAGGTATGAGCCATCACACCCAGCAAAAGACTTTTTAAATAAACAAATATTTTGTGTGTCTACATGTGAGCTCCCTGGCCCATGTGTAAAGGTCAGAGGACAACCTGCAGGAGTGAGCGCGCTCCATCCTGAGTCTCAGGGGCTGAACTCAGGCCGTCAGGCTTGGCATTCGGTGCCTTTTACCCACTGAATCATCTTGCCGGCCCTTAATTTATTTACTTTTATCATACATCATGCAGGCTGTGATGGCTCCTATTTTTATTTTAGCACTCAGGAGGTAGAGGAAGGTTGATTTTCAACGATAGCGTGGTCTACATAGCAAGTTCCAGGCTAGCCTGGGCTCCGCAGTGAGCCGCCATTCTCCTCCAGCAACCACAGGCCATGTGATTATGCTATGTTCCTCCTGGTTACTGGCATTTGGGCAGTGCTTTTTTGGTGGTTGGTTGGTACTGGAGTCCAGACCCAGCAATCCAATCATGTTCATTATTTTCCGACCACTGAAGTACACCACTCTCAGGAAAACCTTTTTTATTTCTTTCAATCAACGTAATAAACTCACCACTGAAGCAACCTGTCTCCTTGTGTCTCACAAAATGCCTGGAAGGCAGGAAAACTTCGGTAAAAATCATACTCGTCACCGAACTGTGGCAGGCCCCCCGACGCCTTCGTAACTGCCACTACCGACCCAAGTGCAAACTGAAAATCCAGAGAAAAAGACACATGTTAAACACGGATTCCTGCTCATTCAGCAGAAATTAAAACAAAACAAAAAACCACAAGATTTTAAAGATATCTATCCCAGAGAGCTGGAGAGATGGTTCAGTGTTAAGAGTAAGCAGTTCTTGTATGGGACCTGGGTTACGCTGTGCTCAACCATACAGAGATCCACCTGCCTTCCAAGTGCTGGGATTAAGGGTGTGCGCCGCCACCTCCACCCAGTTCAGATGACCATTTCATAACCAGTGGCTTAGGTAGACTGTTTTGAGGTAGGTAATAGGAAACTATCAGAAGTGACTGTCATTGATAAAGAAAGGGTACTTAATGCCGGGCGGTGGTGGCGCACGCCTTTAATCCCAGCACTTGGGAGGCAGAGGCAGGCGGATTTCTGAGTTCGAGGCCAGCCTGGTCTACAGAATGAGTTCCAGGACAGCCAGGGCTACACAGAGAAACCCTGTCTCGAAAAACAAAACCAAACCAAACGAACAAATAAAGAATGGGTACTTATTTTAAGGCGGTGGTTTTGAACCTGTGGGTCACATATCAGCTACCTTGTCTATTTACATTATGATTCATAACGGTAGCAAAATTACATTTATGAATTAGCAACGAAAAATATATTTTTTTAACCAACAAGAGGATCGCAATTTATTTCAAAGTTAATGTCTACACAGACTGCTTCAGCAAGGCCATCAATGAAAATAATCTTGTGGTTGGGGGATCTCGGCAGATGGGGAGGTGTTAAGGTCTAATGACAGCATCCATCATGAATTTTGTGAACAAAGCATTTAAATAAAAACTCCACGCTCCTTCTCAAGAGGCACTGGCGAATGCGCTTTGGCACTTGGAGAGGGTCGATGGAGCTGTGACGGGTGACAGCCAACCCAAGAGATGGGGGTAACAGACGTTAGTGCAACAGCGGGGTGGGCACTGGGCGGGAGAGTCGCCCAGCTGTTGGGCCCCTCGGGAGAGGTAGTGCAGGGTGCGCCACGTGGATGACGAGGACGCCTTCCGAAGGCGCGGACGCGGCTTTACACGCGAAGCCGCACGCGCTCACACCGGAAGCGCGGGGCCCTCTGCTCCTGCTCTCCGTGCGCACGGTCAGGCCGCCGTGACAGGCGCCGGAAGCCCGCAGCCCCAGACCCGCCTCCGGCCAGAACAGGGGGCTCCTGGGGCGCCTCAGGGCCGGCGCACTCACCTTTACGAAGCTGTCTGCATCGGGGAAGCCAGGTAGTATCATCTCCGCGTCGGGCTTGGTCGCGCTCGTCGCCGGCGCGGACTGATGCTCCCGGGGACTGGGAGGCGCCATGTTTCCGTCCTAGGGCGGCTCTTCTCGCGAGATTGTTCCGGCAGACCCGAGACGGGCGCAACGCGCATGCGCGCGGCTCACACCAACCCCCGCCAAGTAAGTAGTGTGGCTCGTTACCGGGCTTGGCTTACGGTGGGAACTTGCCTTTTTAATTTCACGTTGTATCCTAACAAACCTGTGGCCTAGGGTGAGAACTGGAGGGAGGTTACAATTTAAATCACATTTAAAGCTAACTCTTCGCCTCGGATCCGCTTGCCTCAGCCTCCTAAGGGCTGGGATTAAAGATGTGCAAAACCACACTGGAATTGGATTTTTTTTTCCAATTTGTTAAAAAAAAATTGGCGAGGGAGGGAAGTTTTGAAGCACTTAAGAACGTTCGCTGTTTTTCTAGAGGACCACAGCACCCAGGTTTGAAGTTCATAACCAACTCTTAGGGAGCAGATGACTTCATCTGGCTGACATGGACCCCCCCCCACACACACGTGCCATACAGATACAGACACATGTATATGTGTCTACACATGTGTCTACACGTGTGTGTGTATATATTTTTTTCTTGTTTGTTTATCAAGACAGGATTTTTCAGTGTAGTCCTGAAACTCAAGAGATCCATGCTTGCCTGTTTCTGTCTTGGTCTGTCTAGTGCTGGAATGTAATGGTGTAGGCTCTTGTGTCTGTTAGTCAGTAGCCTACCACCACTGAGCTTAATCCAAAGCCCAGTAACAGAATTCACAAAATGATGAATACAAAAGCCAGTCATATACATACATGCTTTTAAAATTCTGTCATTTATTGGCACAAAAATTACTCAGATACAACATGGTGTCTATGTGGCTTTACTTTATACTTTGTGTATTTAGTTGGATATTTCCTTTGCTTATAATTCACAACCTGTTCTAGTGTGTCCGTCTGTGATCAGCACCTCCACAACAGCATTTGTGTTCTGTGTCCCTGCTGCAAACACAACATACTCCCCCTCACTGAACACAGCCCTGAGATCCTTGGCCACACCTGCTATGCTTGGTGGCCAGGCATCTGAGCAAACATCCTTCCAGGAAGGTCAGGGCTTGTGAGTTTTAGCATCATGGGGTCAGGCGGAAGACAGACCTTCTTAGCCATGTTGGCCCATCCTGCAAATGTCGCCACTGCATCCAGGGACGGGTGAGGTAACAGGATGGTGGAGTGCTGACGTCTGTGTCCTTGCTGTGGCCCCTGGTTGAGAGGACCAACTAGATTATTCTGTCAGCAAATGCTTATGATGAGTTCTCTTGTAAGTTAAGTCAAAACCCGTATTTCTCAGTTACCCATCTTGTGGTCTCCCAAAATCGAAGGCTTGCTTCTGTAGGATTACTGTGTTTCACTGTCCTGGGAACTGAATCAAGCCTTGTGTTTCTGACAGTGTCTTTTCAACAGCAGCTAGGAGGTTGGCATAAGCCAACTTTGAATATACAGTAGTTCTTTTCATATACATTTCAAAGTATTTAACAAAGTCCAACTTTATGTCCATGGTTTCAGTCCACTGGAAGCACAGACCAAGGTACAAACGCCTCGGAGGAGATGATGTGGTTTGCCAGGCCTTGGTTACCAGAAGGGACACCTAGGAAGGTGGACAGAAAATGGTCAGAGCTCTCCAAAGCTCTGCCCAAGTACAGAGAGCAGGTCTGACCCCTTGGGACTCAGTCAACATCTCTAGTCAAGGGCTAATGGCTCTGAGGTCCCAGAGATTCCTCTGCCCCTTCTCTCAAATTTCTGCCCAGACTCTACAGGATTACCAATCTTTTTCTTCACTTTTTCTCTTAGTCATTGCTCTGACTTTTCTTGTCCCCTTCTGCATCACTGGAGTGACAACAAAAATCCAAAAGCACCCCAGACAAGTAAAGCACCCTGCCCATTCTAAACCATAGCTCTTAAAGCAGCCGTAACTTCCAAACACAGATTGCATCTGTTTCCCATTAGACAAGGAGCATTCTCAGAGCCCACAAACTTCTAAAGAGACAGGACCCCATAAAGACTGTCCTCTATGACCACTCCACCAAATCATCCTTTCTTATCTGGGTTTGAGGCTTCAAGTGGGTCTCTACTGCAGGCTTATTTATTTTTGAGACATGGTTTCACCACTATAACCTTGGCTGTCCTGAAACTGAGAAGAGGTTTGCCTTCCTCTGGATCCCCAGTGCTGGGGAGAAAGGGCATGTGCCACCATCATGGTTGGCCAACAAGGCTTCTTTGCAAGGCTCACTCACCAGCCAATGTAGCACTGGCAGAGGTTCTCATGGGATGTTGCTTGCTTGATAAGCAGTTCCACTTGGGTTGGAACATCCAAAGTGTCATCATGAGAGAAATCCCGACCTAGGAAGCACAAATACTGTCATCTGCACTTGGCAACAACACAGCCTATGTTCTTGTGTGGCTCAGCTGTCTATGCATCCAGATAGTCACCAGAGCAGGAAGGACAGACCACATTTGCAGTGAGAAATTCACCTCTGTGTCATCTGCAGGCACACTGGTGTCTTACTATAGACCCAGTTCAAAGATGTGGCTAATGGGGCCGTTCCAAAATCAGAGTTGAGGAGTGGACAAGGTCATTTAGCTTGAACCTCACAAACTTTCATCATTGTCTCCACTGGACAGTTAGGATCCTACCCCCAACACAGGCTCAGCAGCCTAGAGCTTCTTTGATAATATGCTTGGTTTTTGTGTTTTAAGCCAAGTTTATTTTGCTATTGGTAATCAATAGCCCAGCCTCCCAAATATCTAAACTTCTACTAAACACAATGCACAAGCACGATTACAAACTTCCATCTGATTATTCTTTTGATTATTTTATTTATTTAGTCCCTCCTCCCAGAGTCCTTTGCATGTCATCCTTGCTCAAGGGCCATTCTAATCCTTTGTATCATTCCAATTTTAGTATATGTACTGCCAAAGCAAGCAGAGTTTTGTTTTTTGTTTTAGAGATTTTTAAATTTTATGTGCTTCAGTGTTTTGCCTGCATATGTACCATGTGTGTGCCCCTGGAGGTCAGATCATGGAGTCAGATGCCCTGGAATTGGAGTTACTTATGGTCATGATCACCATATGGATGCTGGGAACCAAATCTGGCCCACAACAAGGATAACACCTGCTTTTCAGCCACCTCTCAGGCCCATTCTGCCTCTTTCTTTCCTTTGATATGGGGGAAGTGTTTTGTTGTTACTGGGTCTTGAGAGAGATTTCATGTAGCATCAGCTGGCCTGAAGTACGTAGCTGTACCTGGCCCATCTGATTATTTTTGAGTATTCCTAGAATTCACTGGTATGATCCAGCCAGCTGCAGGTCTGCCTTGTTCTACTACTGGGATTGCAGGTGTGAGCCAGCACACATAGCTGGCAAAGCACCTTTCTACTACCACAAGGACTGTTTGAGTCCTCCAGACCTCCATAAACACTAGAGTTTCTCTACTTGTCCCAGTTGAGTCCTAGGCCCTGAGTGCTGGGTGGATTGCAGACTGGCTTCTTTCCATCACTCTCTTCTCCCAAACCCAAGTATGCATCCTTCCTCGGACCATCCTGCCCTGTGCTCAGCGTTTATCTCCTATATAGTCAAAGCACTGATTATGTAGTCTTCAATCTTTCCTTGATTACATCCTTCTCACAGGTTTTTGTTTGTTTGTGTGTTTGAGACAGGGTCTCTTTCTGTCTACGTAGCCCTGGCTGGAGCTTGCCTGTCTTCCCAACACTGACATTAAAGCTGTGAGGCATCATGATGGCTTTTTCAGTTTTGTGAACACACTTCTTAGAGACATAAGGCATGGCTCAGTGGAAGGGTCCTTTTGTGCCATGGTTTCAGCACCCAGGACTTCTGCCCACCACAGCCCCTATTTGCTCACTCAGTCCTCTCCTCCCTGCAGAGGCTGCTCAAGTGTTTTGCTACATCTCACCTTTGCCTCCATCCCATTCTCAACAGCTTCAGTCTGGCTCTCAGATGGTCACTAGTGATGTCATCTTTGACCTTCTCATGTCTTATGAGCCAACAGCCATCTTTGTGTGTTTTATTTTTTGTGTTGTACTGGGACTCTTACCTAGGTTCTGTGAGTGGCAGGCAATAACTTCACCACTGAGCCACAGCCCTAGCCCAGCCTTTGACCTGCCTTCCTCAAGATCTCTTGTATCTGAGGTCTTAATTTCATCAGTGGTTGTCTTGTCTGCATATTAGAGCATTTTCGTACCTTTCTTCTGATGCAAGGCCACTTAGCCAGTGCTCGTGGTATCACATCACAAAAAAATCAGGCCTGGTTCCCTCCCCATTACACCTATCTGCCTCTGGTAGTTTCCCTGGGTTGAATGGCAGCCTGGGATTCACCTTCCTCTTACCATCACTCTCATCAAAAGGCTCTCTCTAGACACACTGCTCCCTGCCTGACCTAATGTTAATGTCCTCTAGTGAATTCCTTGTGGAGGTCTGGATGAGAATGGTCCCCATAGTTTCATATATTTGAAACATAGTTTCATATATATATTCTTGGTCCCTAGTTGATTGAAGTATTTGGGAAGGATGACAAGGGGCAGTGTCACTGGAGGACTTGTGTCGCTGGAGGACTTGTGTCACTGGAGGTGGGCTTTGAGGTTTCAAAAGCCCATGTCATTCTCAGTTAGTTTTCTCTGCCTCAGAGTTGTAGATCAAGATGTAAGCTCTCAGCTACTGCTCAGACATCAAGCTTGGCTGCCTGCTGTTGTGCTCAGCACCATGATGCTTATGGCCACTAGCCATCTAAAGCTGTCAGGCAATAAAGCTGTCTTTTATAAGTCACGGTGTCTTAATGAGCAGCAAGAGAAATGTAACTAATGCACTCCTTAGAAACTTGAGCTCCAGTTGTTCCCTTAGGGAGACTTTTCTGGGCTTTCCAAATTAAATGAAACCCTGTCATCACAAGGCGTCCCAGCCTCTTCTCCACTCAGTGACATGTTTCCCCTTAGATTCTGAACCCCGAGAAGCCAGGAAAGCTGGCTGTTTCTACTTGAGTGGTTCCTTTATTGATTTACTTGATTAAGCACCCTTGATTACAGAACTGGCTGGTTGATGCCCCGTGCCTGGAATCCCATGTTTTCTGTGACGTTCATATTCTCTGTTAGGCTTTCTTATCATCATTCAGATGGAAAAGACTTCAGAGGTTACACAGGAAGTGAGTGTGGAATGGGGGTCTCTGGCTCCTTGGCTCCCACCCTCTATGCACTAACCTACCCTGTAGAAGAAAGAGGCTCAGTATGGAATGGCTGCTTGTTTCCAAAGTCATACATGGCTTCCTTTCCATCCTTCTACTGATGCTAGTAGCCATAGTCAATCCAAGTGGTCAGGCACCCTCCACTTGGATTGACTCACCACGAGGCCAGTAACTTGCTCCTCGAGTGGGCTGGTTCTGGAATCCATTCAGATTCCAACAGAGCCTCCCTCATCCCCAGAGTTAATGAGGTTGAGGGTCTTCAGCAACAAGAGCCAAAGGGATGTTCCACTGTTGCCTTGAAGCTATTCATGAGCCATGTAGAAATAAATCCCAGGACAGCAGGCTGGCCATCCACCAGTGAGAACACTCTCCTCATCAGGCTTCATGCCCCTTTAACCACCAAACACTCACCAGTGAGCTTATCTCGAACCCTATTAATAATCTGAATAGCTTTCTTGTTTAAGGCTTCTGGTTTCACAAGACCATCTCCAACTGGAAGACACAAGAGTAGAAACAATGGGTCCAGGGCTGCTCTGCTTTTATAAAACTTACCTCTAAGTGCCGAACCGTCCTGTGCATGCATCTCTGTCCTCAACACACAATTCAAAACGCATGGGTGCTTCCCTCCCAAAGGCAGCTTTGCTACTTGCCTTGTTGATTCCCTTTCTGGCTCATTGTTCATTGTAGCTGCTATCTGTGCAATGAGCGAGTTCCTCAGAGCCTGGACTTACTGAAAGAATGGATGGATTCTGGCACAGTGGTCCCTGCTTTCTTATGGGCTGGTTCTCCAAGTTCTACACCGTCCAAAATTTCTAGAGGAAAACAAACAAACAAACAAACAAACAAACAAACAAACACATCTCAATTAGCAGATGATTCAAATAGTAAGGAACCAATAGTTTCTCATACTTTTTTTGAGAGGTTTCATGTATCTGAGGCTGCCCTTGAATTCCCCATGTAGGTAAAGATGACCTTACTATTAATCCTCATGCCTTTACATCCAAGTGCTGGGATTACAGCCATGGGCCACAACATCTGACAGTCACTATTTTTTTTTTAAATTTACTTCCATTTTAAATGATGTGTATGTGTGTATGTATGTGGGCATAGCCATGTAAGGTGCTGGATGCCTGAGGCCACAGTAATTGGATCTTCCTAGAGTGAGAGTTACAGACAGATGTGATCTACCTGATGTGGGTGCTAGGAACCAAACTCAGATCCTCTGGAAGAACATTATGTGCTCTTAACTTCTGAGCCATTTCTCTAGCCCTGATACTTTTTGCGGGGTGGGGTGGGGTGGGGGGGTGACGTGGAGTGGGGTTGGTTTTTCTTTTTTTTTTTTTTTAAAGATTTATTTATTTATTATATATGAATACACTGTAGCTGTCTTCAGACACACCAGAAGAGGGCATCAGATCTCATTACAGATGGTTGTGAGCCACCATGTGGTTGCTGGGATTTGAACTCAGAACCTCTGGAAGTGCAGTCAGTGCTCTTAACCACTGAGCCATCTCTCCAGCCCGGGGTTGGTTTTTCTATGTAGCCTCGGCTGTCCTCAAACTCAGAGATTTGCCTGCCTTTGATTCCCTAGTGCTGGGATTAAAGGCTTGTGCCACTATCATCCAGCTATGTTTTTTTTTTTTAATTATTTATTTTCTGTATTTGAGTACAGTGTAGCTGTCTTCAGACACACCAGAAGAGAGCATCAGATGGCTGTGAGCCACTATGTGGTTGCAGAGAATCGAACTCAAGACCTCTGGAAGAGCAATCAGTACACTTAAGCTCTGAGCCCTCCCTCCAGACCCCATCTGTTACTCTTTTCAAAATAAAAATGACATTTATTTATGTGTTTGTCTGTGTTGGGGGTGGGGGGAAGGTAGGATGTTTGGGAAGTCAGAGGTCAACTTTTAGGAGCTGCTTCTCTCCTTCCACTATGTGTGTCTGGGGGATCAAACTTAAGTGGCTAGGGTTGGCTGTAAGTTGCCCTGGGGGTTAGACTAGACAAGCACTCTCCAGGGCTCTATCTTAAGGACTGACATCAGAGAAGCATAACAGGGCTGGAGAGGTGCCTCAGTGGCTAACAGCACTTGTAGCTCTGGTGGCAGCCCTGATTCCCAGCACTCATGTGACTCACAGGCACCTGTAACTCCAGCTCCAGGTGATCCTGCACATGCTTCTGGCCTCCAGAATGCATGCATGAAATGCAGACATACATGCAGGCAAAACACCTATACACATACAAATAAAAAGAGTAATATAAAGCTATTAGTTTCTAAGTATTTGAAAATGTCTTACTTGTTACTATTGTGAATGTCTGTGTGGAGGAGTGTATGTCACAGCTCCTGTGTGGTCAGAGGACAAGCTCTTGGGTCAGTCTCTCCTTCCACCTTTTATGTGGGTTCTGAGAATTGAACTCAGATCACCAGGCTTGAGTGGCAAGCATCTTGACAGCCCCCCTTTTTGGTTTTTTTCAGGCTGGGTTTCATGTAATCCAGGCTAGCCTCAAACTTGCTATATAGGTAAGATGACGTAAATCACTTTGGGGAAAGTAATGGGGTCTGCCACTTCCCTGGGATGTACCCACCTACTGACTGGCCTGCAGAGTACGAGTCTGTTCTTGTTCGGGATCGCTTATTGCCTTTGGTATTTGCTAGGAAAAGAAAGTACGAGTTAGGAAGGACTTTAGACTGTGACTTGAAAGAAACTTGGTTGGAAAGGTATTTTTTTATGA